TCAATTGCTCATACATGTATTCAGGCAAAACAGGTAAAAACATGAAATAAAGATAAGCAATCCTTTTGTTGTTGTTGTTAACAATAAAATGGGGGCTGGGAAGACAGCTCTGTTGGCAAATGACCAGGATGAGGACCTGCACTGATCCCTAGCAGCCACAAACAAAGCAGGTGGAATGGTATGCATTTGTAATCCCAGAGCTCGGGAAGCAGAGGCTGGAGAATCCTTGGGGCTTGCTGGGCAGCCAGTCCAGACTCATCTACAAGCTCTAGGTCCCAGTGAGAGACCCAGTCTTAAAACACATGGTGACAACTCCTGAGGAACACCACTTAAGGTTGACCTATGGATCCACATGGATGCCCACACTTGTGGGGCGTTTACCCACCAACTCCACAGCTCCCCAGAGTTTTCTTGAGTGCGAGCAGCAGGAAATATTAGATAGAAGGATTTATTGCGGAGAATATTGCAGAGATAAACAGAAAATAAAGGAATACCTCAAGAGGTCCTGGAACCTTTTCCATTGGGCCCTGACTGTCTCTGCCCCAGGGTATTTATAGAGAGGCCAAGGGGTGGAGCAAAAGACCCCCTACCCACCCAGCACAGCCAAGTGCAGACCATCTCAGACACCTGCACTCCGGCCTGTGGTCCTAATCATCCTCTATGCGGACCTGCTGGGTAAAGCCACGAGGAACCTGAAAACGGGCTCCTACACACACTAAAGCACATACGGCATCCCACACACACCCAAAACCAAAAGACTAAATGTCCAAGTCCATTGGTGTACACCTGTAATCCTAGCACTTGGGAGTCTGAAGCAGATGGATCCTGAGCTATGAGACGCTATCTTAAAAAACAAAAACATATGGCTGGGTGTTGGCGCACGCCTTTAGTCTCAGCACTCGGGAGGCAGAGGCAGGTGGATCTCTGTGAGTTCGAGGCCGGCCTGGTCTACAGAGTGAGTTCGAGGCCAGCCAGGGCTACACAGAGAAACCCTGTCTCGACAAAAACAAACATAGGACCGGAGAGAGGGTTCCGTGGGTAAAAGCACTTGCCACCAGGTTCCTGAGTTCAAGCCCCAGGAACCACACAGTGGAAGGAGAAAACCAACCCCCATCAGTTGTCCTGGTGGTTACGGGTACCAACACACACACATTCTCACGCGCGCACACACACACTTACTCTAAAAAAGTAAACGTATGAACAATAAAAAATGAAAAACAAAAGGTACATGATGAAACAGAACTGTTTACTGCTGAAAAGATTGTCTGAGGTCTGAACCCGGGGCCTTAAGCATGCTAAGCATACAATCTATCACTGGGTTCCATCTCTAGCCTTCCCTGAATTGCTGTTGTTCGGAGAGAGGCTCTCACTGCCCAGCCCAGACTCGCTATCCTACCTCAGGACAGACGTTCTTGATGTAAAGTAGCAAGTACTCTACCTCTGAGCTGTGCTCTTCTCCAGAGATGACATAAAGCAACAGAAACCACAAAACCTCAACAGACCCAAAAGAGCACAAGAGTTACTCTTTTTTGTTTTGTTTTGTTGTCGGGTGTTGGGGGATACAAAACCTACTTGTATGTGTGTGTTTGTGTGGGAAAAGTCTGTAGAAATACACACAAAAAATAATTTTTCTGGTTGATAAGGTTTGGGATAAATTTTATCATTTTTTACTTTTTATATTTACCAAGTATTTATTTATTTGTGCATGCGCGCACACACAGAGATAGTAGTAAAGGCAGATATAACCAAACTCACCTTGGAGAAATCACCAATCAGATGCCGTTCATCAGAATCTTCCTCCTCCATCTGAATGGCATCAATGTCACAGAGAGAGGCCATCTTCTTTAGTCTTAAGCCCTGAAATGACAAAACTCTCACTTACCCCACAATTCTCATGTTAAAGATTTAAAGACCAGGGCTGGCAAGATGGCTCAGTAAGCAAGGTACTTGCTGGAGCCTGGCAACCTGAGTGCAATTCCCAGAACCCTTATAAATGTGGAAGGCAGAACCAAGTCCACAAAACTGTTCTCTGGCCAGGAGGTGATGGTGCACATCTTTAATCCCAGCACTCGTGAGGCAGAGGCAGGCCGATCTCTGTGAGTCAGCCTGGGCTATAGAGCTAATTCCAGGACAGCCAAGGCTACATAGAGAAACCCTATCCCCAAAAAACAAAACAAAAACTGTTCTTTGACCGCCATATGCATGTGAATGCCTACACACACACACACACACACACACACACACACACACACCTAAATACATACACATATATATAAAATAAAAATCTAAAAAAAGTTTTAAATAAATAATAATTTTTTTTAAAAGATGTGGAGAAATTGGGACTTTTATGTATTACTGGTGGGAATGTAAAATGATATACTGCAGTAGGGCCGTTCCTAACATTTAAGTATAAAATTGTCCTATTTGAATATTATATGGACTGGGGTAAAGTTCAATGGCTCAGCAGTTGCCTAACATTTGCTAGGTCCTAGGTTCAAATCCCAACACTGAAGACAGTGTCAGGACATCACGTGGGCTGGGCATGGCAGTTCACTCCTGCGATCCCAGCATTTAGGATGCTAAAGCAGAAGGACACAAGTTTGAGACCAGTCAGGGCATAGAATAAGACTCCTCCTTAAAAAAGAACAATA